GATCCATGATGTCATGTAAATGTAACATTTTCTACATATAGGTCAAATTACATTGCTCTCAAATTACTCTGTTACATCCAGAAGGGAAACTTCACCAAAGTGAAACATAAATCTGTGGATCTGTGTTTGATTACTCTGCCTGGCTTTCTCAAGGACCAGGATGTGACACAAAAATCTGAATTATGGAACTGAAAGTGAAAGTAGTCAAACTGAATTTTAAAAAAACCAAAATACAGTTTCAAACAAATTAATTCAGATAAAAATTTTAAATTCAGTTTCAATTTAGTGAAATTTATTTTTCAAACCAGTGCATCAATTTCAAATTATCCACATTCAGATTCAATCTGAGCAATTGAAATTCACTTCCTGCTGGCACAAGATTTATCCCATAGCTCTGGAGCTACAGAACTGAATCTATGTGAAGTTTTTAAAGTTCTCTGTTTGAACTTCTTCAGGAGTTTTAAACACGGGTTTGGGGGTTTTGGGCTGCTGGACTGGTCTCGGTTCTCAGAGACATCATGAGACAACCTGTTTGGTTCTGGATCCATCAGACGATGCATGAATGATTCTCTGGGTCAGTTCTGTAGAAACCTTCAGCTGAGATAAAAATCAGATGGTTCTGGACCAGGAACTAGGCTTGGGGATGCCACAGGAACCTTAATAAGTCCAAATCTCAGCGACCAACCTGTTAAAGCCTCCAGCTGTCAGTCCACCAGAACCAGGACTGAACCAGCAGCTGGTAGTTCCTCCCTGCAGGATCAGAGTCCAGGATCTGCAGGATTCAGCTGGAAAACCCAGCACCGCATGTGGGCTGTGATGATGCGTGCAGCCGTCACCACTTCCTGCAGACATTTCCACAATAAAAGTGGACCAGCCTGTCTGGACTCATAAACCTGCTTTCTTCAGAGAGAAGATTCTGCATCCAGACTACACGGACCCAGCAGGAATCCCAACCCGCCAGGCCCAGACTTCCTGTTTACTTCAGAATAAAATCATCCATTTTGAGTTAGAAACATAATTACTCACCTGGTTCTGGTTCTGGACAACTTACCGTCTAAACAGAACCAGAACAGAACCGTCTGCCTTCCTAAAGAACCTTTTTAAAAAATGTAAACAACATTGATAAATGTAAAATGTAACAGTTGGATCAACAGAACCAAGAAGAACCAGGTTCTGATCCAGAGCAGAGCAGCAGTTTGACAGCGACGCGTCAATAAAACCATAGAAGAAGAACTAGAGCTGCTTCAGGTCACCTCAGGTCAAAGCTGATTGGTCGGTTAAATCATAGGGAAGAAACCATAACAAGAATTAAAAGTGAGGAAAAAATAAGTCATCTTCATGAGGTCAAAGGTCACAGAGGCCCCTGTAGACCCCCAGACCCCCTTGGGACCAACTGAAAACCTTTAAACCTGCAGACTGTTTGTTTTTCACCTCCCGAGCCTCAGATGTGTTTAAAAACTCTGACTTCATCTGCAGACGATTAAAAACCCAACAGGAGAATCCGTCCTGAAAATTGTGTTTTTATTGACATTATTTATTAGCTCTTCTGGTTATTTTCATCTTTACACCCCTCAGAATTTGCTTTGTTTCGTTTCAGCTTCAACTTTCCGACGGGGATTATAATCCAGAAGGAAAGCAGCACCATCCAGGACCGGGTCGGGCCCGGTTCCCAGGCCCCTGCAGCTGCGTGGAAGGTGAAAGAGGAGAAGCTCCTGGAGCTCGGGCTCTAACTGTCAGCAGATGGAGAGCCGCTCCCGGCCCACACGGGACCCATTATCAGACCAGATGGAAACTCCACGTAACAAATATGGCCGCCGCCGTGTCCTGATTAAACAAACAGAGGCGGGTCGCAGTAATTCAGCAGGCGGCTCGAAGTGCTCCGGGGGAACCTTCCAGAACCACCCAGCGGAGCGCCGGCCTTCAGGAAAAAAGAAGTTCTATGATTCAAACGTGTAACTGATCCGACCAGACGACCTGAACATTTCCTGTCAGGTTCTGAAACCTCTCTGTACGATGCGTTTACCAGCAGTATGGTGCAGTATGAGGGCCAAAATTAAGACTGTTGCTCAACCAGCAGTTACTACATCCTTGTAGCAGGAAGTTATATCTATTACTAACCAGCTATTGATCTGATTAATGACAGGCCGGCACCGCTAACTGAGAGGTCGGTGCTGGCAAATGAGAAGGAGACTATTCATTTGTGTTAGCATTGGAGAGGCTAACGACTAGGATGGATAAGGTGGGGTTTGCATTGAAGAGGCTAGCAACTAGCATGGATAAGGTGGAGTTAGCATCAAAGAGGCTAGCAACTAGCATGTATAAGCTATAGTTAGCACTGTAGAGGCTAGCAACTAGCATGTATAAGCTGGAGTTAGCATCAAAGAGGCTAGCAACTAGCATGTATAAGCTGGAGTTAGCATCAAAGAGGCTAGCAACTAGCATGTATAAGCTGGTGTTAGCATTGAAGAGGCCAGCAACAAGCATGTATAAGCTGGAGTTAGCATTGAAGAGGCTAGAAACTAGCATGTATAAGCTATAGTTAGCACTGTAGAGGCTAGCAACTAGCATGTATAAGCTGGAGTTTGCACTGTAGAGGCTAGCAACTAGCATGTATAAGCTGGAGTTTGCACTGTAGAGGCTAGCAACTAGCATGTATAAGCTGGAGTTAGCATCGAAGAGGCTAGCAACTAGCATGTATAAGCTGGAGTTAGCATCGAAGAGGCTAGAAACTAGCATGTATAAGCTGGCGTAAGCATTGAAGAGGCTAGCAACTAGCATGTATAAGCTGGCGTTAGCATTGAAGAGGCTAGCATTGCCAATGAAGAGTCTCCAGCCTATCATTGATCAGATCAATAGCTGGTTTAGGAACAGATATAGCCTCCTGCTACAAGGACGTAGCAACAACTAGCTCCACAAAAGCCCTCATACGGCGCCATACCAGCAGAACCTGCAGAGGTCCTGATCCAACATCAGAACCAGCAACAACCAAAACGATGGCTGCAGGAGGATGTGCTGATTGATTTTATTAAAAATAAAAAGAGGAACAGATTGTTGCTTTGTTTCCAGGCGGGTCGGATCTTTCACTCATCTGAGAGTTCTGATCCACGACTCTAATCCCAACAGGTTCGGTTCACTCAGAGAGGTTCTGTAGAACCGTGCATTGTGTTGCTGTTGAGGTGGACCGTGTGGTTCTACAGAAACTACCACACCAACCACTTCACTTCCTGCAAACGTCCACAGAAACTCTCACTTCCTGTTTCTGTCCTGCTGATGGGAACAAATTAGTGACACACACACACACACACACACACACACACACACACACACACACAC